CAGGCAGCTGGTTACAGTATCAGTCCTTCAATTCCCAATCTGGCGCCCTCCCCTCCGAGGGTGAAGAGATACAAAGGCAGCACCAGTTTTCCAAGCACACACGGGTCTGCTCAGCAATCAATGCTGGCAGACAACTCACAGATGCTTCTGGTCTTGCACATAAGCCTGCTCAGTCAATCCCCTGATTTGGCAGGGCAATCAATGCTGGCAGGGATCACGGCCACTCGCACACAGCCAGGATATTCCAAATCATTCTTTTCATGTGTAATGGGACGCTGGACCCGATTTCCAGCAGGTGATGCTCCCCACCAATACACGGAGCCTCTCCTCCGGTGGTAGTGCTGTCTGCTCTTATCAGCAGCACTAACACTGAAAGGGGTGTTCTTCTCAACAAAAAAAAAAGTAGTGTGGTTATTGAAGTTTGTTATTGATAAAAAATAAAATTAAAAAATTCAAAATTAAAAATTAAAAAAAAAAAGTTTGTTGTTGATGGTAACTGGCAATGCATGGATCCAGAGACCATTATACCACGAACCAGTCATCCAGATGTCATGGTTACCAATGTACTCGTTACCTTAGACAAAGGTAGAAGAGAGATGTCCCATTCCCATAGACAAAGGTAGAGAAGAGTTCCCTGTCCCCCATAGACAAAGGTAGAGAAGAGATGCGTTGCCGCTGCTTATATTATCAAAAATGTCTGATTACATCAACTTCCAGTCTCTCAAGTTCATCACAACAGCTCATAAATCAACTCTGTTCATCATCCCATCAATATGGAGACTAGCGCAGCAACATCATCATGTCGAAGTACAGCATTACTCAGGTAAGTGACATCTTCTCCTCTCTCTCTCTCCTCCTTACTTCTTCCTCTCTCTCATGAGCACATTATCTCTCTTGTCTCATGAAGATCTCGTTCAGAATACACTCACAGATTGAACACCAACTAGTAGACTAACATCCTATCTCAACAGGGCAGCTATGGCTGCATTCAGCCAGCCAGCGCCCTCACTCTCTTC